TTGTGAAAATGGATTCCCTGTCAGGCTGTGGAATCCGTCTTTTGTTTTACTTTTCCGTCCAAAGACAATACACTGCAGTAGAAAAATAGTGTACACCTCTGAAATAACTTTCCTTGCATTAGTACCTTGACTATAATAATCTTCTCTCTATACGTTTCCACAATGAACTGTAGCAGTACTAAGAAATATAATATGTAATAAATGGCGTGCTAATTATGACTCCAATATCATGTTTAATGAGTCTCACTAATCCAAGGGAGGGGGGGGGGAAGTAGAAGGGGAACATATATAAATATCTTTCCTGGGGGAAGTTATGACTGTAGAGAAATATTGGGCGACTAAGGGGTGTAATGGGGTGGGGCAGGGGATTAGAGGGTTAGCAACAAGATGCCAATAAAAAGAAAATTTAATATGGATTAACAAAATCATAAGACACATACCTCAAAGGTAAAAAAAGCTCGAAAAAAGGCACATAAACAGATGGATGGAAACAAAGAGAGATAGAAAGACAAAAATATGGTTAGGTAGATAGATAAATAGATATATATATATAGATAGATATATAGATAAACAGATAGATAGATATATAAATAGAAAGGCAGATGTATAGATAGATAGATGAATAGATATGAGTGTAAATGTGTATAGTTTATCCTAATGTTAATCATATCTGGTTAATCCAGAGGAATTATGAGAACATAGGACTAATCAACAGTGTGAAGGGAACATTAGGGATATATCTATCTAAATATCTATCTATCTCTCTATCTATCTATCTATCTATCTATCTATCTATCTATCTATCTATCTATCTATCTATCTATCTATCTATCTATTTATCTATCCAGCCTTCTATCTATTTGTCTATCTATCTATATATTATCTATCTATCTATCTACCTTTATATCTATCTATCTAGTTAGCTATCTATCTAAATGTCAATCTATTTATCTATCTATCTATATCTTTCTATCTATCTGTCCGGCCTTCTTTCGTTATTTTGACAAATTAATGTATTTCTGTCTGTGAATAAAGTACGCGAATAAATTGTAAGATTGTTGATTTGTCAATGTATTTAGAAATTGATGCAAGTTTGTATTAACGGCACGTTCGGTCGTACTTACACCATCACGTACATACACCCTCACGTACACACGCGCGTACAGCCGGCCACACGACACTAATCTAAATTATATACCATAACATGTGCTGCGTAATTGTTTTACACGCCAAAAATGTACATCTTATTTTATTTATTTTTTACAGGTTGAGAGTCATTAAATGAAATTTATGACGCAGAAAATGTTTTAAAAAATTTTATTTCATCTTTTGTTTGAATTATTTTCATCATTTCACTAAAATTTCATTTCCTTGGATTTTGAACAGTCACAAGTTAAAACTAGAAAATTTGTAAAATGTTTGACTTTTACGAACGAAAAATGTTAAAGTTTTGAATGTAGACTTGGTTTGCAGTTCTTAAAATGCACGCCTTATTAGCAATAAAGAATTATTTTTTGAAATCTAAGTTGCGGAGCCTTTAATTTTTTTGTGTAGCTAAAATTACGGGGATATAAATGTGCTTCTATCTATAAAGTTAATCTGGCTTGTTGAGGTATAGCTTTAGATTGAAATTGATTCAAAGGGAGTGTTCGCGAAAAATAGGTGGTATAGGCTTACGTCGAAAAATGATCGATGGTGATCGCTACTAATCTTACCTCTATCTGTTGCCTCTATAAGGGGAGAATCTTTTTAAAAACAACTTATACCGAAGCAAGGAACTGTATATACTATACCGAAGCAAGGAACTGTATATACTATACCAAAGCAAGGAACTGTATATACTATACCGAAGCAAGGAACTGTATATACTATACCAAAGCAAGGAACTGTATATACTATACCGAAGCAAGGAACTGTATATACTATAACAGAAATTGTTTTGAATTTCCAATATATAAACTAATAAATTTGTTCTAGCATCTGTGTGTAAAATAAAAACTAAAGGATCTACGAGGTTACAAAGTCATACCAGTTATAAACATAAATTTTACCTTTTTCTTATGTCTAGTTCATAATGGTTCAGAGTAGGGTCACGTTGTGAATCAGTAATGTAACAATTAAAATTAAAGCTCAAATGAAATTAGGTCAAATAAAATAATTGTATTGGAGGCACTCGGATCCTGTATGCCTGACCCAATCATGGTTCAGTCATGTGTTTGTTGTCTTTTCTGAACCAATAGAAATAGTATGGCCTGTTACATCTATCTTCCTATCTATTTCATTATCCAATCAGAGTAATGAATCCTTCCGTCGGTGCTATCAGTAAATGGAAATATTTACTTCTCCTGAAACTATAGTGGAATTGAGGGTCACTTACGACGTGGTGCTATGCAAACATCTCACCACGGAAATGCCTCAAAAAACGGGCTCATAAAACGAATTTAATGTCGTCTTCTCTCAACTTAAGATTGAAAAACTATATTCTAACAATTTTCACAGCCATGGCCGCAGCGCTCGGCCCCTTAGCCGCAGCGCACAGCTCCCCTAGTCCAACCGAGCCCCCTTCGTTGCCTACGGCGCAACCTAACCTATCCTAAATTAATGCTATAAATAATTTTTTTCAATTAAATTTGTTTTAATGAGAGAAGACGACATTAAATTAGTTTTATGATTCCTTTTTTTGACGCATTTCCGTGGTGAGACGTTTCCATAGCACCACCTAAATAACGCATTACACTCCTGTATGCCGAGTCCATTAGTCCCTCATCCAATCAGGGTTCAGTCATGTGTTTGTTTTCTATTCTGAACCAATAGAAATAGTATGGCGGTAACATCTATCTTTCTATCTATCTCATTATCCTTCAAATCCTTCAATCCTTGAATTGGCGCAAACAGTTAATGGAAATATTTACTTCTACTGAAACTATAGTGTAACAGTCCCTGTAAGATTGATATCTCCTCAGGTTAAAATGTATTCTGTATTCTCCAAATTGTTCAATTCTTCAACTTTTTTTCATTTGGAATAAATCTTCTGTGAAACTACTCTTATTAAACTTTTTCGCAAACAGGTTTTAGAAAAAAAATTTTTTTATCAAACTGATTTTTTTTTCAAGGTTTTTTTTTTAATTTCATATTAAAATGAGGGAATAGTCATCCCTGATATAAATGACTTGAAACTGTTTTGATTGCTGGTTCTTCTGGTTTGCTCTCTATGTTTTCCAGGATACAGAGAAGAGAAAAGAAGAGAAGCAGTTCCTGAAAAAGCTGGATGTGTTATGCCTTAGAAAATCAAATTTTAAATAAACTTTTTCTGCTTCATCCATCCATTAAAATCTAGTTTTCGTCCAATTGAAATTTTAAATGTTTTTAATCATAACTCCAAAATACAAAAGAGCTTTACAGAAAAAATGCAAAACCATTTTTTTATTTTCAACCAACTAAACTTGTTCTTTTCCGTCACAAAGTCGTAATAGTAATATTGGAAATAAACATCTTTTCTTTGCACGCCATGGACAGTAGATACACGCTTTCTATTTATTTCTGCTCTGTGGATAAACCCTATTCAAATGTAATACATCTCTTGGGGGTACTTTGTTTAAATCCCCCCCCCATACGCTCTCTAACACCCTTGTCAATATTCTTCAATTCAAATATTTATAACCATATATCTAACTTTAATTCTTCAGCTAGTTAGATATATAGCCATATATCTAACTTTAATTCTTCAGCTAATTAGATATGTATATATAATATATAACCATATTTCTAAAGTAAGATGTATATACGTATATATCTAATTTACTAAGGAATAAAAGTTAGATATATCAAACGGCTCTACGTATATATATATAACTAGCTAAGGAATGAAAGTTAGATATATCCAATGACTCTACGTATATATCTAACTCGCTAAGGAATGAAAGCTAGATATATCAAATGGCTCTACGTATATTTATATATAACTAGCTAAGGAATGAAAGTTAGTTATATCAAATGGGTCTACGTATATATATATATATATATATATAACTAGCTAAGGAATGAAAGTTAGATAAATCCAACGGCTCTAAGTGTATATATATAACTAGCTAAGGAATTAAAGTTAGATATATCAAATGGCTCTACGTAACGTACATATCTAACTAACTAAGGAATGAAAGTTAGACATATTAAATGGCTCTACGTACATATCTAACTAACTAAGGAATGAAAGTTAGAAATATTAAATGGCTCTACGTATATATCTAACTAACTAAGGAATGAAAGTTAGAAATATTAAATGGCTCTACGTACATATCTAACTAACTAAGGAATGAAAGTTAGAAATATTAAATGGCTCTACGTACATATCTAACTAACTAAGGAATGAAAGTTAGAAATATTAAATGGCTCTACGTACATATCTAACTAACTAAGGAATGAAAGTTAGATATATCAAATGGCTCTACGTACATATCTAAATAACTAAGGAATGAAAGTTAGAAATATTAAATGGCTCTACGTATATATCTAAATAACTAAGGAATGAAAGTTAGAAATATGAAATGGCTCTACGTACATATCTAACTAACTAAGGAATGAAAGGTAGAAATATTAAATGGCTCTACGTAAATATCTAACTAACTAAGGAATGAAAGTTAGATATATCCAATGGCTCTACGTACATATCTAACTAACTAAGGAATGAAAGTTAGAAATATTAAATGGCTCTACGTACATATCTAACTAACTAAGGAATGAAAGTTAGATATATCAAATGGCTCTACGTACATATCTAACTAACTAAGGAATGAAAGTTAGAAATATTAAATGGCTCTAGGTACATATCTAACTAACTAAGGAATGAAAGTTAGAAATATTAAATGGCTCTACGTACATATCTAACTAACTAAGGAATGAAAGTTAGATATAATGGCTCTACGTACATATCTAACTAACTAAGGAAGGAAAGTTAGATATATCCAATGGCTCTATAATTAAAGTTAAATAAACGACAATCATTAATGTGGCATCATTCAAATAAAAAACTTGACCAACGACAAATAAGGATTCACGATTTGTTTTCAACTATGGAGAAATAATTATTTAATAATACTGTTTGCTTGAAGAATGTTCAAAAAACATTATTTTGGGGTTTATTCGTATGTTAGACTGCATAAGCTATCCTGCGCACATCTAATTATCATTTATCTGACGTCCGCACGTAGCACGATTCTCTTCTATTTTTTCGGTTCTTAAATGTTTTTAACTTTCCCGTCATGTCCGCTGCAAGGTGCCCTCCATCTTGAAAAAGAAGAAGTTTCAAAAATCCGCGAAAAATCTCCGAGTGTACAGTTATAACCGGGGACACAGCTGCAGCTTTCGTCAGGAAATTAATCCCCGCCAGGCTCGACCAATAGGAGCAGAGCTGTGACAAATCTGACCAATGAGAGAAGAGAGCGGGAAGGATCCCGGGGAGCGGCTTAACCCGGTTCTCAGTCTGGTTGTAAGCCGAGTGCTGTGCGGTTGTAAAGCAACGGTGGTCCGGACGTGATCAAATTCTCAATTGGGGTTTAAAGCCACAATCGGCAAAATGTCTTGACATTTATAACTGCGAGGATTTATTGGATGTGAATCGCGGATTATTTATATGTGATGTAAAGGAATTAAGGATAATTTCAACACCTACCCAACATTCAAGGGAAACACATCAAATAAAACAATATTTAATCAACATTAATACCTCAGAGAGAATTTGATGTCTGACGAAATTAAAATTTGTCAAAAAAAAAATATATTTTTCTTAAACATGATTAGATCATAGGCAACGCTCATCTGAACTTTTTTATTAATCAAAATGATTCAAACCTTCGTTTTATTATTGCTTTAAAAAAAATTTCTCTCGATTTCATGACGTTAACTTGGCATAAATAACATTATCAAATTTCAGAAAATAGAAATTTTAATATATAAAAGCATAAATAGCAAAAACAATTATATTCTCATGGATTAGGATAACTTTTATTACTTTAAAAAGCTTAAACACTTTTGAATTTTGAAAAAAAAAGATTTTTAAATTTATTTGGAGTTAATTTGATGTTGAATTTAGGGTTAATAATGCAAGGGGAGGGCGGCCACCCTGCCTATCCTCATCATCATCTTCCCATGGATCTTCACGTTCCTCAACATTTTCCATATTATGCAGGGTAAACTACCATACTCTTACTTCACAGATTTGAAGGAAATCCGCTAAATTATTGATTGAAATCCTCGAGTTTAATGTACACTAAACCAACAAATATTGACAACATAATGGACACGTAGAGTTCGCTAATTTTTGTTTATCTATACATTTCCCATATTATATTATGTATTGGGTAGGCATTTAATAATGCAAAGATCCAGAGTGCTTTAAAAACTTGCATCAATTTTAAGACTGGGTCTACTTTAATGAGTCGTAACTATAAAGCTCTAGCTTTTAGCTTTAGTTTTTAAAAGTTTATTCTCAGCGTTAAACAATACAATATTTTGATCACTTTGAAAACAAAATCAGTCATTTTCATCTTTTTATCATATCAATCACACTCTACTTTTACAGTGTTATATGTTTTTTTACTAGATCTTGATGTTTAACGTGCTTGTTTCCCCCTTCCCCCCTCCCCCCCCCACCCTGGCGCATATTTAACACCTCTTTTATCCAGCATTGTAAAGACCCGTGTTTGTTAGCTCGAAGTAAAGGTATAATTGAATTAACCAGTTTTTGCCTTGTTTCTTCATATTACAGGGCTATACACACCCACAAGAATAATAACAACAACATTTTGCATTCAATTTTTCAAACACCAAAAACGCAATGAAGATGAAAGAAAACTTTGAAAATTATGTTTGTCCCTATTTTTTGTTTTGTTTTGCTAGTTAGCAATGTTGTTGTAATAAGGAATAAAAAGGACCTTCTTATGAACTTTTTTGTTAGAAAACTCAAAGACCACAAAAAATTGAGTGCGGCATTCTTAAACCGTGTCATATGGCACACACAACAGGCAAAGCGCGCGCATAATTTTAACATCTAATTTTATCTAAACAATTTAAAGAAAGGTAATCTTTCCAACGTAAATTATAGAAACACCTATTGGGTCCGATCAAAAATTGTATTTTTACTTAAACTATGTTTTCTTTTATGAGAAAATTGAAAACTTATGAACTTGTTGGAAAATAAAGATCAGGAATAGCTTTTAAATATAGTTTATATAGTTTAAAAGATAACATTCTCAGTTTCCCCGTTTTTCTTGTTGTTATAGATTCGAAAAATGAAAAAAAAATTTGGCGTTTATAGACTTCTGAAATCTGATTTTACATTTTCATAAAAACCTGATTTTTTATGAAAACTTACAATAAACTTGGCATTTCTTGAAAGGCAGCTAATTATTTTGCGAACACAATTTTTGCAAAAGTCATTTAGTTTGCAGAACGGAAACTGAATTGCACCCTTTCTTATCACAATTGTCAACGGATTGTCAACTGATTTTTGTTCGAACACTAATTACCGTCGGTTCTTTGGTAATTAAAATTATCAAAATCCAAGATCGGAAAAATTGCTAGGAATTAACATTAGTTAGCAAACGATGGGGGGGGGGACACTCCTTTGTTGCCCCCCCCCCCTCCCTTCACATATTTGTCTTACTTTATCTTAAACTAAAACAACGGGTTCAAAATTATATTTTTGCGTGAACGGCGATAATTATATCTTCTATCTTTTTCTTTATATAAGTTTTATTTTTAAAATAAGAGAGTGAAGGACAAAATTAATGACAAGCATTTATTGGATTGACTCAAGGAGATGCTAAAATAACACAATCGCAAAATATATTCTTTTGTCGAATACATGCTTAATGAAGCGACATTATTTTCTTTTTATCTCTTTCTTTCAATCACACTCCTCAATTTTGATAATATTAGTGACAATTGTTGCCCCCAAAGACCTGTCAAAACTATAGCGGAGGGGGGAATATCTATTTATCCATCTATCTAATTATTCATATATCTAACTCTCTATCTATCTATCTCTATCTTTGATCAACCTGTTTAAAAGAGTCCAATAATCTAAACTGCATTTCTCAATAATATTTTCTTAAAAATGATTTTTACAACATTTATATTTTTTTTGTAAATATAATTATGTGAAGTCATTATTATCATTGTTATTGTCATTATTCAGGTGCATTATTGTCATACTGTGATTATTCTTATTCTTATTCTTATTCTTATTCTTATTCTTATTCTTATTCTTATTCTTATTCTTATTCTTATTCTTATTCTTATTCTTATTCTTATTCTTATTCTTATTCTTATTCTTATTCTTATTCTTATTCTTATTCTTATTCTTAGCCTTATTCTTATTGTTATTCTTATTCTTTTTCTTATTCTTATTATTATTCTTATTCTTATTCTTATTCTTATTCTTAGCCTTATTCTTAATTTTATTCTTATTCTTATTCTTTTTCTTATTCTTATTCTTATTCTTATTCTTATTCTTATTCTTAATGATTTTATTAATGTTCAGGTGTATTATGGATAACCAGGCAATGTTTACAGCACAACAGATGCAGTACAATAAGATTTATGCGGCAGGGATTGATCCAACAGCAAGGTACATTAAATTATGTACTTAACAGCTAGGTACATTCGATTATGTACTTTACAGCTAGATTAAACATTGTACTTAACAACATCAGGTTTCTATGATTAAATAATTTTTTCATCAACAATTTGTTTAGAATATTCTATATATGTACACAATGTACATGTAAAGTTTGTGTTATTTATGTACATTAGAATGCTTCTACAACCCGTGTAATATTTGACAGTGCCCGGTGGGGCGCTGTTATATGTTCATGTAAACCCATGTTAAAGGTTTAGCCTTTCTTAGACCTTTTTTTGTTTGACTGAATCAGTCTTCTTGTCGTAAGATCATTCCAATCTCAACGAAAACAAAAGTTTATTTAATCACAGATCCAGGTTCGACTTTACGGCCTTGTTTTGCACCTGACAAAAAGAAAAAAAATCATTTCACATATTTTTTAAAACAATTTCTCTTTTTACAAATACAAAACCAAGAGATTTTAGAAGAACTCTAACGTAGATGGATTTTAATTTTTTCTTTCATACAATTAAAAGTTATTTATTTAAACTTTAATAATAAGGATGTATTGCAGGAGAATGGATGAATTATCTGAACAGAACTCTTTAAATTCAAGATATGGTCATCATCCGTAAGTATTTGTTAGTTAAAGAGACTGTAGACGTAATTACAAGTAACCCTCCATATATAGAAGGTCTGTCCGATGCACAACGGTACCCTGAAATTTTTGTCCAGCCAAAGTTATCCCTTTTTTCTGTCGGAAAAATGGATTATTTTAATCGCGGTTCTCTATATAAGTAACGCGCGGTTTTAAACAGCAAACAAAGATGTGTGAGCTTTATTTTCCTCATTTTCAATCCGATCTCGGTGTAAAGGGGGTCACTTGAGGTCCCACAAAATTTGGGCCCGATCGGTTCAGCCGTTTTGACGTTTACTGGATTACCCTTGGGATTCGGAAATATTATTTTTTAATAAATCAAACTTCCTGTAATGCTTCTCTAATTAAAACGTGAATAAGAAAAAACTATTGATAAATGATTGATAATGTTTTTTTGCCTTTGACGTGCGCGGAGGGGCTGTTAGAACATATTTGGTTTGTTTATCGACCAATTTATGGCTGTTATGATGCTAATGAGGAGCTTGCAGATACAGGGATAATGGGATACAGGGATACTAGGATACTGGGATACAGGGATACAGGGGTACAGGGATACAGGGGTACAGGGATACAGGGATACAGGGATACAGGGATACAGGGATACAGGGATACAGGGATACAGGAATACAGGGGTACATGGGTATAGGGTACAGGGATACAGTGATACGGAAATATAGGAAAATAAGAAATTTCTAAAAAAAAAAACACAATTATAACAAATAAGAAATAAGTTTTAAAAGAAAATCTTGATTTTTTTGTAACTAATATTTTATTTTTTTTTTTGCAGAATTCTTGAGTTAAGAAAGGAGAAGTCACGTGATGCAGCGAGGTCTAGAAGAGGAAAGGAAAACTATGAATTCTACGAGCTCGCTAAGATGCTTCCACTACCCGGAGCTATTACGTCACAGGTTCAACTAAACCATTTATAAACATACAGTGAACCCCGTAAAACTGTGGACTAAGATGACGTCAAAAACCAGTAGCTTGTAAATCAACTTTGAACACAATCTTGTTTTGGGCAATTAATTATCATAACTTGAGTCTTAAAATCCTCTTCTTATTCAACAGTTGTATGAGTTCCACAGTTGTACACGTTACTGGGAGGGGGGGGGGGGTATAGTTTTGCGCACCCCCACCTTTATACAACTTCTAGCTATTCCTCTGTATTGAATTAAAGCAAGTATATAATTAAGGAGAAGAGGATATGTTTACATTTTACAATGAGATTAATTGTAAACGAAATACATTTATGAAAAAATAATTGCTCATTGTTTAGTTTCTGAACGTTCCTAATAAGTTAAACTTAACTGCAAACAAATTCTATCCCCCTCTTCTTTATTCTACTCCCGTCAACTTAAAATGGGTTAAATTAAAACACACAAAAATAAAAATATTGTATTTAACACAAACACACAAAAATTCTTAAATGTCCAAATTATTTTATACTTTTTTGACACATCATTTCTTTAAAATATTCGAAACCACCCCTGATAAAAATGTTGGTTCTGAAAAGGTTTTGGGGCTTAAGAGCACACTCACAATTAAACCTCCGATTATCAATTGTTCTTTTCTATTTTTAGCTTGATAACGCTTCTATTATGGGCCTCACATCACAGGTGCACACACACACACACGATCAAACACGAACAAACACATACATGCATAATATTTCAGTTGGACAAAGCGTCGATTGTACGGCTCACAATCGCGTATCTGAGGTTGCGCGATTTTGCAAATCACGGTGATCCCCCCTGGAACAGAGATGGACGATTTGATGGGAAAGCAACTTTAAAAAGTAAGAAAATATTTTAGTTTCCTTTCCCCCCCCCCTCTAGTATGTGCTGTAAGCCGGGTTGTTGAGTTTATTTAGCAAATATTCAGAATTTTAAACAAGTGTAAACTTTCATGTTTATTCGCAGCCATCTTTCCATCTATCTATCTTCTATATATTTATCTATTTATGTGTTTCCCCCTGTTAATAGCTTGGGAACCCAGCGTTGCCCAGGGGTCAGATATAGTCCCACCCTTTACCAGCACTTTGTCGTAAATTACGATTTTAGCTATTTTTCCTTTTAACAGTCGACCCACTCAACTAAAATATCAAAACCAAGCTAAGAACATTACTGGTGTCCTACTGAGTTCCCAAATAAAAATGTGAGGCAAATCGGTCCAGGGGTTTCTGAGTTATGATCGGACAACCAAACAGACGGACAAACAGAGATTACAACTTTATATATAAATAGATTATATATTACTTTAAGTTCCTTCTTTGTGTCTGTGTCCATGTTCCCGTTATACAATAACGACTTTTCAGATTTTCTGGTTTCTTCAGAGGATTTTAAAATCTAAATTTTTCATTTTCTGGTTTATTAAAAAAATGTTTTTTCTGCATTTTTGGAAAATTTCCAAATCTATATGATATTCTTTTCAAATGTAATTAAAATCTTTGTTGTTAATGTAACTTTATTTATGAAAACAAATAAATGAATAATAAGTCCCAACAATTTTTGTTTTTTTTTTCGAGAAAAATAGAACAATGATTTGTTTTTTAAGGATCTAGTCTACGACGCGGTCCACTTGGTGGAGGGCTTGCCATGGATATTTTCGAGGTTAGTTTAGAAACTTATAAATCCTTAATGTACAATAATCTAAGAGAACTAAGAAAAACTTTCATTCAATCCCTTTTTAATTTGAAATCATGAAGTGCCTACAATCCCTTTAATTCTTCTATGATTTAGGAGCATGAAGGAACACATATCTTACAATCCCTTTATTTCTTCTATGATTTAGGAGCATGAAGGAACACATATCCTACAATCCCTTTAATTCTTATATGATTTAGAAGCAAGAAGGAACACATATCCTTCAATCCCTTTAATTCTTCTATGATTTAGGAGCATGAAGTTTAATTCTTATATGATTTAGGAGCACGAAGGAACACATATCCTACAATCCTTTAATTCTTCTATGATTTAGGAGCATGAAGGAACACATATCCTACAATCCCTTTAATTCTTATATGATTTAGGAGCACGAAGGAACACATATCCTACAATCCTTTTAATTCTTATATGATTTAGGAGCATGAAGGAACACATATCCTACAATCCCTTTAATTCTTCTATGATTTAGGAGCATGAAGGAACGCATATCCTACAATCCCTTTAATCCTTCTATGATTTAGGAGCATGAAGGAACACATATCCTTCAATCTCTTGATGGATTTGCCATATCACTTGCTTCCGATGGTCGGTTCCTTTATATATCAGAAACTGTATCAATCTATCTAGGCCTTTCTCAGGTACAGATAATGATAATAACAAAGGTTTAAGACCATCATCAAGGTGCAAAGATATGATAAAAGATGATAAAATTGTATTGTTTGATCAGGTTGAATTGACCGGAAGTAGTGTGTTTGATTACGTACATCAAGCTGACCACGCCGAGCTAGCTGAGCAGATAGGCGTTACCCTTGCCAGTCCGGGAGACAGTCCTACACAGACGGAGGAGGGGGCGGGGGGGCAGGGAGGTGCTGTCCCCCCTATCCCCGATGGTAAGCCTTGTAAGTGGTGAGCTAACCTAGTAATATATTAACCTTGGCAAATCTATTCCGCGGAATTTTATTAAAAATATTTCTTAAAAGGGCCGCACATGTAATTTACATTGACCTTTCCCAATTCGCATCAGTAGCCTATATGATCTAAGTAAATTCATCAATGGCGGTAAATTCCGTATTTTTCTGGCTGAAAAGTTGAGTGCCTGAAAATGGCCACATGACTGTACACTGTAACCTCGAGTTTCCCGGCACTCAATTTGAAGACGGAAAAATAAGGATATCTCCATCAAGCTTTAGCAGACAAGGTTATAAAGGGTACCGTTCAGAATCGGACATACCACTGTACATATAGAGGGTCATTTAAAAAGTTGAGGTTCACAGACCCTTTAACATAAAGAAATATTTAGGATAAAACTTCTCGGTTTTCTCTATAAAAAAGTTTATTATTCAAATTACTGTTGAATACTAAACTTTTGTATTGCACGGTGATGGTTCACTCACTACTTTCCTTTCTTTCTTCAACTTTTTTGGAAAAACAGGAAAAATTCTGAAAACTTTTTTTCCCTGTTTTCCCAAAATTCTTTGTTCTCCCCTATTCTCTATTTCTTTCTTTGCTTTCTAACTAATTAACATATTAACATGCAATTAACAAATTCCGTTTGCATCTGCAAATTTACAGGGTTATTCACTAAGGATGAGATTTCATTACAATTTAAAACTATGCAAAAAAACGACTCAAAGTTTAAATTTTTGTTTCTGACTTAAATTTGGACTTTTGGTTGCATTTGTACTCCTTTATTAAATAATGACACAAGTTTACTCCAAAAAAAAATATCAGAAAAATGAACTGTCGTATTCGAAATCTCATTCTTTATTGGTAACTCTGTAAAAATGTTATTTTCCCATTTTTCCGAAACAAATCAGCAAAGGAAACGTACCTTCTTTATTTTTAAAGATTTTTTTGGACAAATTTATTTTTAGGCAAAATTTGTGGGAGTCAAACAATTTTTTAAAAAGATTTTTTTACTTTTACATATTATGTTCAAGGGTTAAAAGATTACTTATTTGGTCAAAGAAAGCTGATAAAATAACTTTTAATAAAATTCTTTTATCTTTGCAATCTGATTTTGCAGATTTTTCTGAAGAGTTTTGCTAGAATTACAATTCACAGTTTGAAAAATCAAATGTATATAACATCAGATTGCAAAGATTTAGCGGCTAAAAAATAAAAATTTGAGACAAGTAATCAAAAAACAGGTTTTTCAAATTCTCTGTTTGTTTAGTGTGCTATCCTGTCACCACCTGTATGTCAAATACTCGGGAAGACAAGCACGGAAAGCCTAGTTACGACCGGGCTTTTTGTATCAGGTATTTGTAGGTTTTCGGAGAAAGGTTAGGGCTTAGGGCCGTTTATTAGGGATGGGGAAAATCATGAGGTTGGTGAGGGGGGGGAAATTTTAAGGGAAAATATTAGGGAATTGTCAGTTATTAGGAGAACTCATGAGGTTTTGGACAAAAACCCTAATTTGTTCTGAAAGGTTCTAACTTGATTTCCCTATTTCAGGATGAAATCTACCCTTACAAAACGTGGCTGCCATTTTAAGGTACAAAAGATATTAAAATATAAATGTTTGTTTGATAAATGTATCATTTCAAATTTAATCATGATTAAAGTCATACATTTTTTTATTCAAAATTTTGAAAAGTAAAATAACACAGCAATTGTTCTTTGCGCCTGTTTCCCTTAATAAGTTTTTTGTACGTCGACCAATTGGTAGTTAACTAGATTTGCTTTATAATAACATCAAATATACATATGATTGTTTGAATGTCGTCTTCCTACATCACAGTTTAGGGCTCCCACTGTATCTATTTAATTTTAGTCTTCTGGTTACCGTGTTGTTTTAATACTGGGTAAACTACGGCCACAGTACTCCTACTCCCAGCCCAAGAAATCAGTTCCTATCATGGGATTCATCGGCCTCGCTATCGCCCTCCCTCCCCCCAGCGTCCACGAGGTTCGCCTCGAGACCGATATGTTTGTCACGAGGCTGGCCTTCGACTTTAAAATTGCACATTGTGAACCCAAGTAAGATATTTCTTAAAGGAGTTTTAACCACAAACTCATATTTTCTAACCCCTATATCCTTGCAACCTTGTGGTGTAGACCTGTAATATTGTAAACTTGATCTAACAGAACATTTTGAAATATCAAAGGTATACACCTTGGGTTGCAAAGACAAAGATTAGAATATTAAAGTTTGTGGCAAAAAATCAGTTCCTTTGCTTGTCATAATTATAGTATTTTGGAAAAAGTGTGTTAAGATTAAACATATTTGGATGATTATACAGCAAATTTTGATCATTTCGCTCGTATTTGCGGTCAACATCCAGATTAAGGTTTATGCAAGGATGTTATGCAAGGAAAGTTATTTCAGAAGTGTACGCATCTTTTGTACTGCAGTGTACTGTCTCTGGGCGGTAATGTAAACACAAGACGGATGTCGAAGCCTGACATGGGATCCATCTTTTACATAAAAAAATCAATGAAATATTCTGGTCAAAGGAAACTATTATGTGAATTATCAAAATTATCCAAATTTAATGCTTTTCACCTCCTCGGATATAAACGAACACTGATGCATCTATTCTTGTTTACAAATTCCGCTCAGAGAGAACTGGTTTCGATATGTACGCAGAGTATACGCGACAGCAATTAACTTTCCTTGTATTACAACCTTGGTTTTATTTAAGTTCAAATTTTGAAGGTATTTTGTCCTTCCATCTTTAGCATGCATTATTGCATTGAAACAAAACCTGTTCTTGGGAACTAATCTAGCTCTGTATCTATAGGGTTTAATCTATTTAATTCTGTATCTGTAGGGTTTAATCTATTACTAATCTAGCTCTGTATCTATAGGGTTTAATCTATTTAATCCTGTATCTATAGGGTTTAATCTATTTAATCCTGTATCTGTAGGGTTGCTGAATTACTTGATTACACTGCGGATGATCTAACAGGGAAATCTATGTATGCTTTGTGCCACGCTGGAGATGTGGATAAAATTAAACAAACTCACACTGATCGTAAGTTTTCTTCTTAAAATCTTCTTTTTTGCGAAGAAACCACAACATCTAATGTGTTAATCCTTATATCTTTGCAAACTGATGTCGTAGACATTTGATATTAAAGATTACGAATTCTCCTCAAATTTTCAAAGTTAGAAATATCACTATCAGGTTGCAAAAAAAATATTAGAGATTAGAATTTAGTGTTACATTTCTTTAAATGAAAATAAAAATGGTAAAATTTAAGAATTTAAGATATATAAAAAATCCTAAGAGTAACCAAACTCCCGCATTTTCACCTCTCCCCACCTCTTTCCGTTTTCCCCCCCCTCCACTCTTCATTAATTTAAGGTTTATTTTTGACTCCCTGCCGTGCTCGCCGACTAAGATGAATTACACCTCACCTATCAATCAACCCTTCCTTCCATTTTTATTCATTCATTCTCATATTCATTCTTATAGTCATTCTTATATTCATTCTTATATTCATCCTGGTATTCATCCTGGTATTCAACCTCATATATTCATGCTTATATTCATCCTTGTATTCAACTTTATATTCTTTCTCATATTCCTTTCTTTTATTCACCCTCATATTCATCCTCATATTTATCCTAATATTTATCCTCATATTCATCCTCATTTTCATCCTTGATATTCACCTAATATTCATCCTGATATTCATCCTAATTTTTAATCCACATATTCATCCTCATATTTATCCTCATATTCATCCTCATATTCATTTCTCATTCATGTTTGGTAATTTATTACTCATTCATATTCATGGTAATTTATCACTCATTTATACCTGGTAATTCATCACTTATTCATTTTTTGGTAATTCATCACTGATCCATACTTGGTAATTCATCACTAATTCATACTTGTTAATTCATCCCTCATTCATCCTTTGTAATTCATCACTCATTCACATGCTTGGTAATTCATCATTCATTCATGCTTGGTAACTCATCATTCATTCATGCTTGGTAATACATCATTCATTCATATCTGGTAATTCATCACTCATTCGAATACCTGGTAATTCATCATGTATGCATTCTTGGTATTTCATTACTCATTTATAATATGAATAACAGAATGAGTTTCATTTCTTCAGCTTTTCTTCGAATACTATTCTACCAAAGTATGAAGTTCACTTGTTTTAAATTAAATACTGACAAATTGTTTAAAATTAACACGGTGAGGGAACTAAGGGGTAATTTGTCGACTTGAATAGAATCGATTACGAAGACGGACTAGTGCTGAGATTCTGATGGATTGTGCCTAGGGTTGTCGCAAAACATTTTTCTTAAAAATTGTTTAAAGGAGGGAATCCTCGTCCCCCCCCCCTCCTCAATATTAAATTTTTCATCACTAAAAACAAAAACCTGTCTTATAATTTATTTATTTTTTTAATTAGTTTGATAAGAGGTTTGTTCCATATAATGAATAGCATGAAACCAAATTTCAGATGAAAAAATCAAAAAAGGAATAAAGCATTCGCCACAATCTATAATTTTCTAATCCACATAATATTTCAAACTTTCTTTAATGATTTAACAGAATTCATAGTTTGAAATATAAAAGGTCTACCACAGGTTGCAAAGATGGAAAGAAAAATACTTAATAGAGAATGTGACGAGTAATCTGTTTCTTTATCATCTCTTTTTTATTAGTGATCAAGAAGGGACAAGTGATGTCAATGTACTACAGATTTATGAACCGGTAAGCTAAAAAATTTACATTTTTTTAAATTTTGAACTTCTTTCGTGCCGCTGTTAAGTGACTCTTCGCGATGTGCGATTCAAAACAGCAACTTCCCGGGGTATTTTCCCAAGTAACAACTTCCCGGGGTATTTTCCCAAGTAACAACTTCCCGGGGTATTTTCCCAAGTAACAACTTCCCGGGGTATTTTCCCAAGTAACAACTTCCCGGGGTATTTTCCCAAGCAGCAACTTCCCGGGGTATTTTCCCAAGTAACAACTTCCCGGGGTATTTTCTCAAGTAACAACTTTCCGGGGTATTTTCTCAAGTAACAACTTCACGGGGTATTTTCTCAAGTAACAACTTCCTGGGGTATTTTCTCAAGTAACAACTTCCAGTTGTATTTTCCCAAGTAACAACTTCCCGGGGTATTTTCTCAAGTAACAACTTCCCGGGGTATTTTCCCAAGTAACAACTTCCCGGGGTATTTTCTCAAGAAACAACTTCCTGGGGTATTTTCCCAAGCAGCAACTTCCCCGGTATTTTCCCAAGTGACAACTTCCCAAATGTGCAAATTTCAAATTCTGACCTAGCTGCAGTGCTTGGCCCCCCTAGCCCATCCTAGCTGCAGGGCTTGGTTCACATTGCAGCCCGTGACCCCTCAGAATGGAAAAATGCAAAATTGATGAAGTTTTCACAGTTTTTCTCTCTGACAGTTGATTATTTAAGACAGAAAAATGACGATATCTTGCTAATTGTTATCCAAATAGAGTTTTAAATATAATGTTGTGAATTGGAGATCCTTCCTTTAAATGGAAGGTCGCTAGAAAAGTGGTATACAGTCCCTTAAAGAATGGAAAATTGATACCGAGCCCAAATTAATATTTCTGCGTAAAAATGCCATGAAACCAATGAGATTGAAAATATGGTAGGTCAGCATGCTATTCATGGTAAAACTCCATCCACATGGTTTAAAGAAAATTGCTGCGTAAAGTTTGCTTAAAACTTGCATTACTTCTTGTTGAACTCTTCACCCTTTTTAAAAGGTTGTATAATGTATATATACAGTGTTTCCCAGAAAACATAAACAACAAATATTAGCTCAACCATTCAAACACCTTGGACATCTTAAAAATTGTAATAATTGCAACACACTTTTACTTTTTGCAAAAAATATGTTTTACAGTGAGAACCAGAAAACAATAGAATATTGTTGTCTTCTATTTATTTAATTATGAAATATTGTTCAGGATTTAATGAATAGCGAGCAATTGAACCAAATAGACTAAACTTAACTTGAACCAGCATAAAAGAGAAGTGGTTCAGATTAATCTACGTAGCTTAGTTCTCTAGTTCTTGCGGTTCATTAAATATGGTCTCAGTATCTGTTTAGGCAAAAATTATCAGTTACAAATTCCAGGAACATTTCTTTAATAACAGGAATAACAAAGATGACATTCATCCCAGAGTTTCTAGATCTTCCAATATTATTTTGACACCCTGGAGTATGGTGTTGAGATGATAAAGTGAAAACAATGTAGATTTAAACGTGTTTAGCTGGAGATTTCAACTCCTCTAGTGTATAATTTACATGAGAAACTAGTTCATCTGAACCTAGCACCCGGCACCAATTTAAACAATTTTCATAAACTTTCTTTCAGCTTCTTTCAAACATATGCAATTGAAAGAGAGCATAAGATGTCAAAATGATTTCTTTGTTCTTTTTTTTTTAAATTCGAAACATAAATAACAAATAGAAAAGTAGTTTTGTCATTTTAATGTACTTTGATAAAAAAAATTGAGGAAGAAACTGAAAAAAAGATGAATTTTGGGTTAAAAAGAATGAAAAAGGAAGACAAATTTGGCATTTCATGTTTTTATTTTTAGACGAGGTGGGTATACCTGGGTGCAGACCTGTGCTACCTTGGTTTGTAACACGAAGAACAGCGAGGAGCAGACAATCATCTGCGTTAACTATGTACTCAGTGGACCCCAGTACGCAAATATTATCATGGATAAACAGCAGGTAGGTTAACCAAGTACTCAGTAGACCCCAGTACGCAAATATTATCATGGATAAATAGCAGGTATAGGTTAACCAAGTACTCAGTGGACCCCAGTACGCAAATATTATCATGGATAAACAGCAGGTAGGTTAACCAAGTACTCAGTGGACCCCAGTACGCAAATATTATCATGGATAAACAGCAGGTAGGTTAACCAAGTACTCAGTGGACCCCAGTACGCAAATATTATCATGGATAAACAGCAGGTAGGTTAACCATGTACTTAGTGGACCCCAGTACGCATATATTATCATGGATAAACAGCAGGTCGGTTAACCAAGTACTCAGCGGACCCCAGTACGCAAATATTATCATGGATAAACAGCAGGTAGGTTAACCATGTACTCAGTGGACCCCAGTACGCAAATATTATCATGGATAAACAGCAGGTAGGTTAACTAAGTACTCAGTGGACCACAGTACGCAAATATTATTATAGATAAACAGCAGGTAGGTTAACCATGTACTCAGTGGACCCAAGTACACACTAATATTATCATGGATAAACAGCATGTAGGTTAACCATGTACTCAGTGGACCCCCATACACTAACTTTTAATGGAAAAACAATTTGTGCAGTTTCCCAAATGGATTAATTGATAAATTGATTGTGATCAATTGGTTGATTATTTCATAAGTTGGTTGATTAATTGATAAATTGGCTGATTATTTTATATTGGTTAATTAATTGATAATTGGTTGATTAATTGATATTGGTTGATTAATTGATAAATTGGTTATTTAATTGAAAAATTGTTTGTATAAATAATGAATTCATTAGAGGATTGATTAATTGATTGGTTAGTTGATTGATTGATTTATAAATTGAATAATTGATTAGAAAATTGATTTAATTGATTCATTACTTGATTGATTGATTAATATTTTTCTAGATTGATGATGGTGATGTGAACGTAAAACCAGATTTGGATTTGGAAACAACAGCAACAACAACAACAACAGCTTCCCCTGCTAGTGTCAGAGGTGGGATTTTTAATTTATATTTTGAAGTGACAAATGCACAATTAGAATTTTGCCAAATACTTCTTTAGTAATGGAACTAGAAACATAGAAACATACACATTTTCCTTACTTTGTAGAATAACGACACTGTTTCTGGAATTGGCTGACAAAGAAATTATGTTATGTACAGTGTACACATATCTTTTCTTAGTTATGTTATGTACAGTGTACACATATCTTTTCTTAGTTATGTTATGTACAGTGTACACATATCTTTTCTTAGTTATGTTATGTACAGTGTACACATATCTTTTCTTAGTTATGTTATGTACAGTGTACACATATCTTTTCTTAATTATGTTATGTACAGTGTACACATATCTTTTCTTAATTTATTTCTTTTTTCTTTTAAACCTCAAACATCTTTTAATTTTAAACTGACAACACCTTATTTGTATTTGTAATTCTTAAAACTTGTGGCACCCAATTAGTGTCTGAGTTGCTTGTCACTGGCAACCTTTAAACATTTTAACTATTTCTTATTCATCATTAACAGGCCATACTTTTTATACAAAAATGTAATACTCAACTACTAACCAAAGGGAGTCCAAAAAGTAAATGGAATTAGAGTGATCACTCTGTCATAAAAATAAATTAACTTCTGAATTTTCGTCCAAAAGGTAGACTTTATTTTGCTGCCTGGTGGGAATTATCTCCACTCTTTTAATTGAGTTTATAATATATACAGGACAAAATTAAATGCCAATAACACCAAAATTTAAGTCTTCTTATATCTGTAAAAAATTAAGGATATCTTTGAGTTTCCGTAATCTCCATATTCCCTGTTCAAACAGAATTTTTAAAGTTAATTCAATTTCCCCATGTTATTTGACCATATCCCCCCTCTTCCATATTCCCCTCCCCCCTCTCCTCCTCCTGAATTTGTCTCAATGAACTCCGAACTAACCCTGGATCTCTGGAATCTAATTATAGTTTGGAATCTTGTTAGTGGGCGCTACCAGGGGTGTTTATTTTTCAACTTGTAAAGGGATATTACAAGTTTTTATATCCCTCCTGATTAAATGGACTATTAAAGAAGTTTCATGTGACTCTCCAGTTACTTGCCCAACTTGGAGTTGAAGTAGTTGATTTTGCAGGTTCTGATTACACTGTCAATGTAGAAGAGAGACTGGAATATCAGCCATTTGCTGAGGATTCTGCAGCCATTGACCAGAGGTTAGGCAAGGTTTGTGATTCGGGATCTTTTAACGGTCATTTTCAAACTATATTAGTCGAAGAATAAATAAGAATGAAGAAATCATTAGCATCGGAGTACTTTTGTAGATATCTTTTTCTTTAGAGACCCAAAAGTATCATGCACCTTATTAAATTTTGATAATTTTTATATCACAATTCGACAATAAATTGATAATGGTGTGGCTCTTTAATTACAAGGATTTTCAAAAGTTCTCTGATAATGATAATTTCCTTAAAAACGTAGAAATTTTTATAATTGTTGTCCCGTTCTTAATAAAAAATCAATTTATGACATTTCAGACTCCTGTGGCGACCCCCCATTCTGGAGTAGGATCTCCCCCTGGGACCCCAAACCTCTCCAACCCTGCTGTAGAGGATACAGCCGAGGATTCGGCCTCGTCACCCCAAATATCTAGTCCAAACTCTCTACCAGATCAGAACTCAAACAGTGTCCGAGATCTAGAAAATGCTATGACAAAACATCTTCCGAAGAAAAAGCCCTGCCTTCAGCTTCCCATCCCCTCCACCTCAAGCTTGGAGGCCAGCAACCTCATCAAACAGTTCTACTCTCGGCAGTCTGGCTACCTGGATATAGATCCAGAAAACCAGTTTTTAAACTACGCCCGGCTAGGGTATCCAACTGCACCTGCGCAACCGCTTCCTCTCAAACCGAATGTGTACACTATGAGTGGAACAGTTGGTGCAACTCTTGAACCAGCTTACACAGGGTTTCATGATCAAACTTTATATTCTCATCCTTCATCATTCCATCTTCATAATAGGGGACAGACATGGTATACAGGGAATTAGTTTTAGTAGTTATTTGTCAGTATAAACTTGCTATAATATATAGATTAATCACTTGATTAAACAAATACTATCCATCATTATAGGACACTTAGTTAAAATATGAATTGATTCGTTTACTTTTATCAACTCTGTAGTACCAGGACATAACTGATGCCATTGATTACTCTTTTTATATACAGCTACAACTTGTAGATCGACTTTTTCTCTAATTTTGTTATACAACTACAGCTTGGAGGTCTACTTTTCTCTAATTTCTCTAATTTTGGACGTGAAAACTAAATTATTTCTGTTTTTAACATTTACTTTTTTTATGGTTAAACTTTGATATATATTTACATTTAAAACACTCTAGGAGATCGACTATGTTATTATAAACTGTAAAAGTTAAAAAATATGAAAATGTATTTTTTACATTTTAAAATTCCTTTCATCTTTATCATAGCCATTTCTTTTAAAGAGTTGTACAGCCAATTTTTTGCTCAGTTTATAGAATTCATTCAGACGACATATCCATTCATACATAACAAATTATATATCTACATGTACTTTTCTGGTGAGGAAGAATTGTAAAAAAAAAATATTTTTCTCTTCGTTATTTTGATTTGTGATACAATCTGTGATTTTGGATTTAATTTTTAATGATTTAGCTTCTAATCGAGCTAAATCTGCTTTATGCCGCAAAGTAGGGTAAACGGAACTTTTGTGTGAAGTATAGTTAATCTTGGAGCTTGATCTTGATATCCAATGTGGGAACTCTCAATTTTAAGAATTAATGCTTGATTCCTCAATTATAGTTATCCCTGCAGGGTTTGACCATAATGGGATATCAAAGAATTAAAATAATCTGTTAATCTGCTTAAGATGGGGATTAATGATCCCGAGATTAACAACACACAAGTTCTGACTTCTGATGATATTAGAGAACAGTTTCTTTATGTTAAATTTGCTTGACAAGCCTCTTCTCCAGATATAGTTATCTTTATTCTTTATTTGAGTTTATATAGTTGAATTATTTAAATATGTTTTCGTAGTTTTATTGGTCGTATGTTAGACGGGATTATGTCGCAGTGGTTCAGGGGTAGTCCTAATCTACTAAATAGTTTTTAAATATTCTTTTTTGTCTGAACCATTGACAGTTTGTGATTAAAATACGTGATTTAGCTTTTTATATAAGTCATACACAACCAAAGATCTTGAATTTGTAGGAATTAACCTTCTGTTAAACTGTTTTAAGTCAAATAAAACATAAACTTTACGATTATAATACGGAGAGAGAGAGATTCGTTTATCCGCAAGGTATTTTAGGTGCTTCGCGCCCCTTCTTTTAGTTTATAAACACTAACAAATCAACTAACAGACAAGTCATTTATATATTATCATATAAATGGATAGATAGATAGATAGCCATATAACAATTTAATAATCTCAGTTTTTTATGTCTGATCATTCATAACTCATGATCACCTTGACTGATCTGTCTTAAATTTTGATTAGAAAACCCGGTAGAACCACGGTAATGTGATTATATTGGTTAAACATTATAATTGTTGTGAAAACTGACTTTTGTAAAAAATGGTTCGGTTTCCAGGCAATGCTTGGTTCCCAATATAATTATAATTATATATATATATATGAAATTGATCCGAAAAGTATTGTAAATAGATTGTAAAAAGTAAGAAATAAGTTGATAAAGAAAGATTTACAGGATAATATTTTCAGTAACTTTCCCCAATTTGCTTTGTATTAGTTATAATCTCTACATGAGACAACTTCACTCCCAGTCCAAGATTAACTGACTTCATACGACCTCATAACTCTTCAAAGAACTATGCACCGTATATCTTAAAAGACAAAAATACAAACAATTTCTTTGTAGTGCAACTTTGCACGTTCTTCAGAAAAAGAAGTTGTTTTAGAAAAATTATTAGAACCTTTACATACAAATACACTTTAGATGGTTTATTGAGGTCGCGTTGCATTTTTAAGCCCCCCCCCCCTTACAACAAAACAGACTTGCTACTTAAAATGGGGTGTGCGTGTCCCCCCATACATAAACTAGGTCGAAAAAGCAAATATATTATACGGACCATTCCCCCCCCCCCTCCCCTCCAATCCATATTGGGAGACAGAGACCAACGTCAATTATTTTGATTTAAAGATTCAAGATCTTGATAGTAGGATAGTTTATCTATACTTCTATCTATCCTTCTAAACACCTGCTTTTCTTTCTATCTATCTATCTTTCTATAAATATATGTCTATTAATCTTTTAATATTAACAGGAGACTGAGACTCATATTTCATCTTTGGAAAATGAATACGACTCAATCTATCTATCTATCCAAGGTTATAATGCGAGGAAAGTTAATTGCAGTTGCGTAAACTCTGAGTACATATTGAAACCAGTTCTCTCTGGATGGGGTTTGTAAACAAGAATAGATGCATCAGTGTTTGTTTAGTATCCGAGGAGGTTTAATGCATTAAATTTTCATAATTTTGATAATTCACATATTAGTTTCCTATGACCAGAATATTTCATTGATTTTTTATGTGAAAGATGGATCCCACGGCAGGCTTCGACATCCATCTTGCGTTTACATTACTGCCCACTACCTCTGAAATAACTTTCCTTGCATTATAACCTTGGATCTATCTAACTATCAAATCTAAACATCATTCTATCTATCTGTCTATCTATCTATCTATCTATCTATCCATCTATCTAACTTAAAATTCGGTGATGGTGATGGACCAAACCTATCTATCTATCTATCTATCTATCTATCTATCTATCTATCTATCTATCTATCTATCTATCTATCTATTTCTCTATGGAAGTTTTCTCTCACATTTTAATTTAATTTTATGGTGTATTTGCCCTCAACCCCTTTACTGGTCAGATATCTATCTATCAATATATCCAACTATCTTTCAATATATCTATATTTCTATCTATCTATATATCTAACTATCTTTCAATATATCTATATTTCTAACCACATAAATATCTAACTATATTTCAATATATCTGTATTTCTAACCACATATATATCTAACTATCTTTCAATATATCTATATTTTTAACCACATATATATCTAACTATCTTTCAATATGTCTATATTTCTAACCACATATATATCCATACATATGTCCCCCCTGTGCCCTCCCCTTTTCCCTAGATGGGCGGGGGGACAGATAAAAAGGAAGGCTATGAAAAAACTAAAATCATAATGCCACCTAATTATAGGTTATTAGGTTATAATGAGTAATCAGACAAAAATCAAGTATTTTAGTCTTTACTTCTGTTCTTATACCTGTCTAGCTATTAAGCTTTCTAACTATCTACCTACCTATCTATCTATCTATCTAGCTATCTATCTATCTATCTATCTATCTATCTATCTATCTATCTATCTATCTATCTATCTATCTATCTATCTATCTAACCTCCTTGAACCCCAATTTACCACGAATCTGTATTAGGCAGTTACTTGACAAACAGGCCGATAAAACAATAAGGCCGCCTTTCAAGCCGAATAATAAGAAGTATCGGTCTGTTTTCCTATTGTTTATTGAAACCAAAGATCTTTATCAAATCCTCAACTAAGTTCAACAATATCATAACAAAAACATTGGTAAAATAAGATTTTGAGGACAGGTTCAACTTTATTAATTTTCATATTTTGAAGAAAGAAAAAAAATATTAAAATAATTTTATTTTTTTATTTTTTACATCGTCCCTTGAGTTTTGTATGATTGATAGGACAGGATAAAATCAAAAAATCAGATTTGAAAAATATATATTCTTAATTTGACATTTTTTATATTTTAAAAAAAACCTGTTTTTTCCATTCCATCTCAATCTTGAATATTTAACATACTTTTATTCTATTTAATAAAATTGATAAATCAAACCTCTTTTTTTTCAAGTGCACTTTTCTTAAATTTAATCCTCCTTAAAATTTCATGAACTGATAATTAAATCCCTGTAATTAATCCTCCATGAACTAAACACTCCCTGTGTCTAATTTAATCCTCCATGAACTAAAGACTCCCTATGTTTAATTCTCTTTTAACTAACCCTTTTAATAATTCTCAACGAACTACACACTCCCTGTATTTAATCCACCATGAACTAGACACTCCCTATATTTAATCCTTCATGAACTAAAGACACCCTATATATAATCTCCCATGAAGTATACACTTACTATATTCAATCCTCCATTAACTTACACTCCCTATATTTAATCATTCGATGAACAAAACACTTAATTTTATTCCCCCATTAAATAAACACTCCCGATACTTAATCCTCTGTGACTTAACACTCCCCATATTTAATCCTCTATGAACTAAACACTCCCTATACAATTAATCCTCTATGAACTAAACACTCCCTATATTTAATCCTCCCTGTTACTGGAGGTGTGGGATAATAACCCTTCTTGAGTTTACTAATAATAGGCTTCACACCCCAACCATCATAATTTAATCTTTTAAATGGATTACTGCCCCTAAACCCCTGCCCCTGCTCCTAAACCTGATTAGTTAGTTAGGACAGCCAGATAGGAATTTAGGAATTTTAAAGGACGTAAAATTTGTTCCATCTTATATTGTTAGGAATAAATGATATACTTTAATTAGGAAAAATTATTAAAACTTTTGAAGAAAGTAAAATTTATTTAATGGGACATTTTTAGGAAAAACATCATATGAATAATTAAAGGAAAAAACGAAGAAATTCTAATTTCGTAGGGTTATTAAGATTAAGACAATTAGGGACATTTGTATTAAGCACTTTGGACTAGCACTCTCAAATTAGTGAAAATTTAATGTTTTTTTCTAGTTTTGGCTTCAGCTAGCTTTCTAAAAAGTGTGTAAAACATCGAAAATAAAAATTGCTAAAGGGAGTGTTTGCGAAAAATGAAAGGATGTATAGGCTTACGGCGAAAAAATAATCGCTTTTGATCGCTACTAATCTTACTTCTATCTGCAGTGTCTATTATTTGGTACTTGTTTTATATAGATTTACAATGCACTTCGAACGACTTTTTTCCGTTGGGATGTGTAATCATTCAAAGCATCGAGAGCAGAGACATCTGGTGGTCAACTATTTCGGCGTTTTAATTGCATTGTATACAAAACGTATACAAAAATATTTTGAAATATTAACTATATACGAATGCGTCGAAAAATAATCGATGACTATAGGTTGTAATATCTGAATGATGTGTTTGAAATTAAATTGATTTTTACGATCCGAGTTGAATATTGCAACTTTCTGAATTTGTATGGACGCTATACATTCTTCAGTGTGAGTCGTTTTTAACAATTTCCTCATTATAGACGCAACAGGTAGAATTAAGATTTGCAGCGATAAAAAGCGAAAAAGGAAAAAAAGACTTTTTGTTTAAAGATTGATTAAACAAAAACCGATTTCAGTTTAAATTAAAGAAACTGCACGCATCTTGCGCTAGTTAGTCTAGGGCCACAGGGTTAGTCACAAAAGAGGAGACTTATATGACGACCTGGAACTCGCTAAATATGACGATGAAGATGAAGATGAATATGAGGATGAATATGAAGATGAATATGAGGATGAATATGAGGATGAATATGAAGATGAATATGAAGATGAATATGAAGATGAATATGAAGATGAATATGAAGATGAATATGAAGATGAATATGANATTGGCGTACGTAGAAATCTCTAGAAAACGTAACTTATGTTCGGTGTGTCTGTTTCATAATATAAAATTTGAGAAAAATTTAACGCCTCAAGACAGAATTTTTGCGGCAAAAAAAAGATTTTGTTGAAATTTTGGTTTAAGCACAACACTATATTATAGATCTTAATCTAAGAGATCATTTTAAGATCATTCGATTGAAAAATCAACGATTTAAAGCTGTTTTAAAATTTTTGAGTTTCTGTTTTGAAACAAAATTTGAAGAGGTTGCGTGATTTTCATAGAAATATTTTCGCAGCAGCAGCTGAGGGATTAGAAAATCACACAGCCGAGGGATTAGAAAAATCACACAGCCGAGGGATTAGAAAAATCACACATATCAATCATTTATTCTATTTTATTCCATTCATCATCTAATCCACTTTGAACCATGTAAACCATAAACCTTCTATAATGTGCAGCTGATTTCCTTTTTAAAGGCACAGATTTCAAAGATGATCCAAAATGACACTATCTTTAAAGAGGTATGTGCACCATTTGAACCTTTATTTGAGTAATAAT